TAACAGCCGAATTGATCAAGCAGAAGAAAGGATATCAGAGGTCGAAGACCAACTCAATGAAATAAAACAAGAAGACAAGATTAGAGAAAATAGGATAAAAAGGAATGAGCAAAGTCTCCAAGAAATATGGGACTATGTGAAAAGACCTAATCTACGCTTGATAGGTGTACCTGAATGTGACGAAGAGAGTGAATCCAAGCTGGAAAATATGCTTCAGGATATTATTCAGGAAAATTTTCTCAACTTAGTAAGGCAGGATAATATTCAACTCCAGGTAATACAGAGAACACCACAGAGATATTCCTCAAGAAGAGCAACTCCAAGGCACATAATCGTCAGATTCACCAGGGTTGAAATGAAGGAGAAAATACTAAGGGCAGCCAGAGAGAAAGGTCAGGTTACCCACAAAGGGAAGCCTATTAGACTCACAGCAGAACTCTCAGCAGAAACCCTACAAGCCAGAAGAGAGTGGGGACCAATATTTAATATCCTTAAAGAAAAGAACTTTCAACCCAGAATTTCACATCCAGCCAAACTAAGCTTCACAAGTGAAGGAAAAATAAAGTTTTTTGTGAATAAGCAAGCACTCAGAGATTTCATCACCACCAAGCCTGCTTTACAAGAGCTTCTGAAAGGACCACTACACATAGAAAGGAACAAACAGTATCAGCCTTTCTAAAAAAATACCAAAAAGAGCATCAATATAATGAAGAATTTACATCAACTAATGGGCAAAATAGCCAGCTAATATTAAATGGCAGTATTAAACTCACATATATTATTATTAATTCTAAATTTAAATTGACTAAATCCCCCAATCCAAAGACAGACAGGCAATTTGAATAAAAAACTAAAACCCATCAGTATGCTGCATCTAGACCTATCTCACATTCAAGGATACACAAAGACTCAAAACAAGGGATGCAGAAGGATTTACCAACCAAACAGAAAGTTAAAATAAATAAATAAAAAGCAGAAGTTACAATTAAGCAACAAAGATCAAAAGAAGCAAAGAAGGACATTATATAATGATAAAAGGATCAATGCAACAAGAAGAAGAGCTAAAGATCCTAAATATATACGCACCCAATACAGGAATACGTAGATCAGTACCACATCATATCAACTTAGAAGTTTAAACGAAATGTTGGTTGGCTCCTTGTTTGTTATTCTCTTCCCTCATTTTCTTTTATATCTCCATTATTAAGGACAATTATAGGCATACCCATATTTAGATTGCATTCTAGCCCGGGCAATAAAGCAATACCCCCATCCTCTCTCCCTCTTCCTCTTTCTCTTTCTTCCTCTTCTTTATTCTTTTTCTTATAAAAAAAAAAAATTAACCTTTCTATTTTTTTTTTTTTTTTTTTTTTTTTTTTTTGAGACGGAGTTTCGCTCTTGTTACCCAGGCTGGAGTGCAATGGCATGATCTCGGCTCACCGCAACCTCCGCCTCCTGGGTTCAGGCAATTCTCCTGCCTCAGCCTCCTGAGTAGCTGGGATTACAGGCACGCGCCACCATGCCCAGCTAATTTAAGTGAACAATTTAGTGACATGTATTCATAATGTTGCCCAACCACTACCTCTATTTTCAAAAATATTGTCATCAGCCCAAAAGGAAATCTCCTAGCCATTACTTAATTGCTTCCTATTCTCTCCTGCCCTCAGCCTCTGGCAACCACCAATCTTCATTCTCTTTGGATTTTCCTATTGTGAATATTTCATATCAATGGAACCCTGCAATAGATGAGCTTTTGTGTCTGGCTCCTCTCATTTAGCTTAATGTTTTCAAGGGTCATCCGCATAGGTACTTCATTTCTCTTCATGGCTGAATAACGTTCCATTGTATGGATATGCCACAATTTGTTTATCCATTCATCCATTGATGGATATTTGGGCTGTTTCTGCCTTTCAGCCGTTGTAAAAAGCCTGGGAGGTCAAGGCTGCCAAGATTATGCCACTGCATTCCAGCCTGAGCAACAGAGTGAGACCCTGTCTAAAAAGAAAAAAAAAAAAGCAGCCAGACCCGGTCCAGCTGGTCTTTCCCATATTCCTGACTTACACAATACCCCTTTCCGGTGTATGTTCTTATTCTTTATTACTGCATTTCCAGTACTTTTTATTTTTGTAAGTAGTTAGGCTCCTTTATTCCAAATTTGACAAATCATGAAATGCCTCTCAGCCCATCTCCTTACTCCTTACACTTTACCTTTCCATCCATGCAATCTCACAATGCCGTGACTTAGCAAATGCCAAGAAATGTAAGAAAAGGCCGGGCGCGGTGGCTCACGCCTGTAATCCCAGCACTTTGGGAGGCCCAGGCGGGTGGATCACAAGGTCAAGAGATCGAGACCATCCTGGTCAACATGGTGAAACCCCGTCTCTACTAAAAATACAAAAAATTAGCTGGGCATGGTGGCGTGTGCCTGTAGTCCCAGCTACTCAGGAGGCTGAGACAGGAGAATTGCCTGAACCCAGGAGGCAGAGGTTGCGGTGAGCCGAGATCGCGCCATTGCACTCCAGCCTGGGTAACAAGAGCGAAACTCCGCCTCAAAAAAAAAAAAAAAAAGAAATGTAAGAAAAAAAGACTTAGTACTTCTCAATAACAATAGCTAATACATATTGAGTGCCAATTATGTGTCGGGCACTGTGTAAAATGCTCTGTATCATCTCATCCAATGTTTATAACAAATGTATCAGCACAAAGCCTGAAGCATGGTTGAACTTTTTCAGTTTTAGGGTCATATGCTTTGGAATATGAGCTTGTCCATGTAGCCAAAGGGAACAGTTGAGATAGGTACATTAATTTGCTTAAGTGAATATATATCAGTGTCATTTTTTTTAAAGATCCTGGCTATGCCTACATAAATAAAGCCTTGGGGAATATTGCAGTTGGGCAAATGAATAACTTTAAGGTACTCATTTTTTAAAAAATCTATCAGGCAGCCGGGCGCGGTGGCTCAAGCCTGTAATCCCAGCACTTTGGGAGGCCAAGGCGGGTGGATCACGAGGTCAAGAGATCGAGGCCATCCTGGTCAACATGGTGAAACCCCGTCTCTACTAAAAATACAAAAAATTAGCTGGGCATGGTGGCGCGTGCCTGTAATCCCAGCTACTCAGGAGGCTGAGGCAGGAGAATTGCCTGAACCCAGGAGGCGGAGGTTGCGGTGAGCCGAGATCACGCCATTGCACTCCAGCCTGGGTAACAAGAGCGAAACTCCGTCTCAAAAAAAAAAAAAATCTATCAGGCACAGCCTGGGCAACATGGTGAAGTTTGCCTCTGCAAAAAATTAGCCAGGCGTGGTGCCCACCTGGGGTCCCAGCTATTCGGGGGGCTGAGATGGGGGAATCAGCTGAGCCCAGGAAGCCAAGGCTGCAGTGAGCTCTGATCAATTGCGCCACTGCACTCCAGCCTGGACAGCAGAGTGAGACTGTCTTAAGAAAAAAAATGCCAAGCACAGTGGCTCACACCTGCAATCCCAGCACTTTGGGAGGTCAAGGTGGAAGGATCACTTGAGCCCAGGAGTTGGAGGCAGCAGTGAGCTCTGACTGCACCACTGCACTCCAGACTGAGCCACAGAGTAAAACCCTGCCACCAAAAAAAAAAAAAAAAAAAAAATCAGACAAACCCAAATTGAGAGAGGTATTCTGCAGAATACCTTACCAATACCACTTAAAATCTTTAAGGTCATCAAAGACAAGAAAAGTCTGGGAATGTCACAGATCAGAGGAGGCTAAAGTGACATAACAAGGAAATGTAATGTGACATCCTCGCTGGGATCCTGGAACAGAAAAGGGACATTTTTAGAAACAGCGAAATTGGATAGAGTGTGGAATTTAATTAATATTAATATACCAGGCTGCACTGGCTCATGCCTGTAGTACCAACTACTTGAGAGGCTGAGGTGGATCGCTTGAACCCAGGAGTTTGAGGCCATCCTGGGCAACACAGCGAGACCATGTTTGTGAAACAAAAGAAAAAATATGTGTGTATATAAAACAATGTACCAATTTTGGTTCTTTAGTTGTGACAAATGTACCTTAGTAATGTAAGATGTTATCAATAGGGGAAACTTGGAGAAGTGTATATGGGAACTCCATACTGTCTTTACAACTTTTTCATGAAACTAAAACTATTCTAAAATAAAAAGCATGGCTGGGTGCAGTAGCTCATGCCTATAATCCCAGCTCTTTGGGAGGCCAAGGTGGGTGGATCACAAAATCAAGAGATCAAGACAATCCAAGCCAACATGGTAAAATCCCACCTCTACTAAAAATACAAAAAAAAAAAAAAATCTGGGTGTGGTGGCACATGACTGTAGTCCCAAATACCAGGGAGGCTGAGGCAGGAGAATCACTTGAACCCAGGAGGTGGAGGTTGCAGTGAGCTGAGATTGTGCCACTGCACTACAGCCTGGTGATGGAGCGAGACTCCATCTCAAACAAACAAACAAAAAAAAAGCTTATTACGGGGAGAGATAGCATGGGGAGCAATGCCAGATATAGGTGATGGGGAAGAAGGCAGCAAATCACACTGCCATGTGTGTACCTATGCAACAATCTTGCATGTTCTTCACATGTACCCCCAAACCTAAAATGCAATAAAAAAAAAAGTCAAAACAAAAAATGAAAAAAAAAAAAGAAAGCGTATGAATAAAAAAGGGTACAGAGATTGGGGCCAGAGCAGAGATGACACATTTCAGATCCGTCATCCCATGCAGCTTCCCCTGTCCCACCAGTTGGACTTAGCTGTGTGGCCTCTTTGCCAGTCTATTCATTCCTTAAGAGGCATATCCAAGATGTTGCCCTCCGCACAGTGCTGGGCATCCACGTCTCCAGGAAGTTCCAGCTCTGGGGAACTTTGCTGCTGCAGTGTTGTCCCAAGGAGAAACCTTTGGGAGGGAAGCACACATGGGTGTGACTTCAGCCACAAAGACTTGAAGCCTGGAGTGGAAGTTCAGTCTCTTAGACTTTTTTTTATTGGCAAGGACCTTGGGTGTTTGTCTCATTTTTGTAAATCAAGACACTGGGGGGCTCCCTTTTCCCCTTAACCACAGCTGGAGGCCAAGATCAGCCCTCAAGGATCATCGTCAGGACAGCCATGAGCTGGACAGCCTTGTTTTCCTACCTCAGATGTAAAAAAGAAAAAAAAAAAAAAAAAAAAAAGGAAAGAAACTGGGGCTCAGTAACATTGAGTAATTTATTTAAAGGCCAGTTAGGGCCAGGCCTGGGGACTCACACTTGTAATCCCAGCACTTCAGGAAGCTGAGGCGAGAGGATTTATTGAGCCCAGGAGTTCAAGAACAGCCTGGGCAACATAGTGAGACCCTGTCTCGACAAAAAAATAAAATATCAGCCTGGTGTGGTGGCACATGCCTGTACTCCTAGCTGCTCAGGAGGCTGAGGCTGGGGGATCACTTGGAGCCCAGGAGGCCAAGATTGTAGTAAGCCATGATCACACCACTGCACTTCAGCCTGGGCAGCAGAGTGAGACCCTGCCTCAAAAATAAGATAAGGGGCCGGGCGCGGTGGCTCAAGCCTGTAATCCCAGCACTTTGGGAGGCCGAGGCGGGTGGATCACGAGGTCAAGAGATCGAGACCATCCTGGTCAACATGGTGAAACCCCGTCTCTACTAAAAATACAAAAAATTAGCTGGGCATGGTGGCGCGTGCCTGTCATCTCAGCTACTCAGGAGGCTGAGGCAGGAGAATTGCCTGAACCCAGGAGGCGGAGGTTGCGGTGAGCCGAGATCGCGCCATTGCACTCCAGCCTGGGCAACAAGAGCGAAACTCCGTCTCAAAAAAAAAAAATAAAAATAAATAAGATAAGGTAAGATAAGATAAGCCCGTTTGTAGCTTCAGACATATTTTTCAACAATGTTAGTTTTTTCAATGTTAATGAAATATCCTCCCCTGCCTTTTAATGGATTCTGACTCAAAACCCTAACACATAGAACAGAGGAAGAGAGCTGTTCTGGCTGAGGAGAGATGGGAGCCTCAGTTCTATCTATACATTTACATTTTACTACCTTCCAATAGGTTAATAAAAGGATTCCATAGGGTTCCAAAAAGTTCTATTGAATTTCTGTGGAACCCTTGGAAGCAGAGGTCAAAATCTACATTACTTTAAGGCCGCATACTATTCGAGTATGGAGTTATTCTTTGATTTACGTAACCAGTCCCCTATTGCTGGCTATTTCATTTGGTCCAACTTGCATTTTAATGAAAATTCATCTCTGCACTTATTTCCATTTTATCATGATATGGAATTTTTGGGTCAAAGGTATTTTAATGCTTTTAAGACATATTAACAAATCACTCTCCAAAATAGCTATAAGAATTTACAGTCCCAGCAGCAGTATTCACGACTGGCCAATTTCCCTATAACAAAATCAACACTGGATTTTAACACTATTTTTCATTTGGACAATCCAATACAGAAAAAATGGAATCTAAGTATTGTTGCATGTCTTTGATTACTACTATGGCTAAACTTTTGAGGTAAATTTTATTGGCTATTTAAATATTTTCACTTGTGTTCTTTGCCCATTTTTTTTCTCTTTGGATTTTTGTTATTGTTTTATAAAATTTCTTCACAGCCGGGCGCGGTGGCTCAAGCCTGTAATCCCAGCACTTTGGGAGGCCGAGGCGGGTAGATTACGAGGTCGAGAGATCGAGACCATCCTGGTCAACCTGGTGAAACCCCGTCTCTACTAAAAATACAAAAAATTAGCTGGGCATGGTGGCACGTGCCTGTAATCCTAGCTACTCGGGAGGCTGAGACAGGAGAATTGCCTGAACCCGGGAGGCGGAGGTTGCGGTGAGCCGAGATCGCGCCATTGCACTCCAGCCTGGGTAACAAGAGTGAAACTCCGTCTCAAAAAAAAAAAAAAAATTCTTCACAAATTAAGACTAAACTTTTTTTTTTTTTTTTTTGGAGACAGGGTCTTGCTCTGTCACCCAAGCTGGAGTGCAGTGGTGTCAACATAGCTCACTGCAGCCTTGAACACCTAGGTTCAAACCATCCTCCAGTCTTAGCCTCCTTAGTAGCTGGTGCTACAGGTATGCACCACTATGCATGGCTTTTTTTTTTTTTTTTTTTTTTAAAGCAATACAGGGACTCACTTTGTTGTCCAGGCTGATCTCAAACTGGGGCTAGACTCAAGCGATCCTCCCACCTCAGCCTCCCAAAGTACTGGGATTACAAGCATGAGCCACGGTACCCAGCAACTCCTTATCTATAAGTAAATATTTCTGAGTGTTAAATTTGCCTTTTTTTATCATATACTTTTTAAATATTTATTTCAAATCTAGAATTTTTTTGTCATTTCTGCTGTAAACTAAATTTTGTATTATGTTTAGAAATATCTTCCCTCTCCTCTCTTCCTTTCTCCGCCATCGTGGTGTGTGCTTTACTCTGTTTCTCGCCATGTCTTCTCACAAGACTTTCAGGATTAAGCGATTCCTGGCCAAGAAACAAAAGCAAAATCGTCCCATTCCCAGTGGATTCGGATGAAAACTGGTAATAAAATCAGGTACAACTCCACAAGCAGACACTGGAGAAGAACCAAGCTTGGTCTGTCAGAAATCACACATGCGATGGCACACATATTCATGCTGTCCGAAGGTCACAATCGAGTGTTACTAAACCAAGCTATCGGGAGACGTCTGAATAGATTCCTTTCTGTATCTGTTAGGAAGGCATTAGTTAGTACAACCCACAGTGCTTCCATTATACATGTTTAAAAAAAAAAAAAGGTTTTGGTTGCCTGGGTTCAGTAATAAATATGTGAGACCTTTCACTTCTGAAAAAAAAAAAGAAAGAAAGAAATATCTTCCCTATGCCGGGCGTGGTGGCTCACGCCTGTAATCCCAGCACTTTGGGAGGCCAAGGGGGGTGGATCACAACATCAAGAGATTGAGACCATCCTGGTCAACATGGTGAAACCCCGTCTCTACTAAAAATACAAAAAAATCAGCTGGGCATGGTGGCGCGTGCCTGTAATCCCAGCTACTCGGGAGGCTGAGGCAGGAGAATTGCCTGAACCCAGGAGGCGGAGGTTGCAGTGAGCTGAGATCGCGCCATTGCACTCCAGCCTGGGTAACAAGAGCGAAACTCCATCTCAAAAAAAAAAAGAAAAGAAAAGAAAAGAAAAGAAAAACGAAATATCTTCCCTACTCCAAATATTTTCTAATGCTTTGGAGAAAAACAAATCTGCATCAAAGGGATAAATCTGCAGGACTTACTATAGTGTGTTATAGCTCCTCCCCACTAGACTCAGTGCTTTTTGAGGTCATAGATTTTGTCTTATCAATCCCTGTAGTTGACTAGTCCAGTGCTTAGAAAAGAGTAGGTGTTTAGTAAAAATAGAAAAGCAGGAGAGAGATCCAAGATGGCTGATCACTAGCAGCTCGGGATTGTAGCTCCCAGCGAAAGCGCAAAGAACGAGAGGATGCCATACCTTCACATGAATTCTTGTTGCTCACGCACCAGGAGATTCCCAGCGGAGGAGCCCCACGGGTCGCCAGCGCGACTCTTGTGACCGGCGAGGCGGTTTTGCCGGCGCCTTGGAGCGTCGGTTCTTGGTGCAGAGTCAGAAAAGCACCATCAATCTTAACGCCACTGATTTAGTCGGCGCAGTGAGTTGCTCAGATTTCGGCGCTGAGAATCAGTAAGTCGGACGTCCACTCAGAAAACCAATTACAAAGACGGTAAATACAAAGACAACAGATGGATAAATTTATAACGAAGGGAAGGAAACAGCCAAAAAAAGGCTGAGCATACCCAAGATCAGAATGCCTCTCCCTCAGCAGGGGATCACAGTTCCTCATCAGCAACGGAACAAGGCTTGATGGAGAACGAGTGTGTTCCAATTACAGAAGCAGGCTTCAAAATGTGGATAATGAGAAACTTCTGTGAATTAAAAGAACTTGTTTTAAACCAATCCAAAGAAACTAAGAACTTTGAAAAGAGATTTGACGAAATGTTAACAAGAATACACAATTTAGAGAGGAATATAAGTGAATTGATGGAGCTGAAAAACAATACGAGAACTACGTGAAGTATGCACAAGTTTTAACAGCCGAATTGATCAAGTAGAAGAAAGGATATCAGAGGTCAAAGACCAACTCAATGAAATAAAAGAAGAAGACAAGATTAGAGAAAAAAGGATAAAAAGGAACGAGCAAAGTCTCCAAGAAATATGGGACTATGTGAAAAGACCTAATCTACGCTTGATAGGTGTACCTGAATGTGACGAAGAGAATGAATCCAAGCTGGAAAATACACTTCAGGACATTATTCAGGAAAATTTTCCCAACCTAGTAAGGCAGGATAATATTCAACTCCAGGTAATACAGAGAACACCACAGAGATATTCCTCAAGAAGAGCAACTCCAAGGCACTTAATCATCAGATTCACCAGGGTTGAAATGAAGGAGAAAATACTAAGGGCAGCCAGAGAGAAAGGTCAGGTTACCCACAAAGGGAAGCCTATCAGACTTACAGCAGATCTCTCAGCAGAAACCCTACAAGCCAGAAGAGAGTGGGGACCAATATTCAACATCCTTAAAGAAAAGAACTTTCAACCCAGAATTTCACATCCAGCCAAATTAAGCTTCACAAGTGAAGGAAAAATAAAGTTTTTTGTGAATAAGCAAGCACTCAGAGATTTCATCACCACCAAGCCTGCTTTACAAGAGCTTCTGAAAGGACCACTACACATAGAAAGGAACAGACAGTATCAGCCTTTCTAAAAAAATACCAAAAAGAGCATCAATATAATGAAGAATTTACATCAACTAATGGGCAAAATAGCCAGCTAATATTAAATGGCAGTATTAAACTCACTTATATTATTATTGATTCTAAATTTAAATTGACTAAATCCCCCAATCCAAAGACAGACAGGCAATTTGAATAAAAAACTAAAACCCATCAGTATGCTGCGTCCAGAACCATCTCACATTCAAGGATACACAAAGACTCAAAACAAGGGATGCAGAAGGATTTACCAACCAAACAGAGAGCTAAAATAAATAAATAAAAAGCAGAAGTTACAATTAAGCAACAAAGATCAAAAGAAGCAAAGAAGGACATTATATAATGATAAAAGGATCAATGCAACAACAAGAAGAGC